TTTTTTCCTTTTCTTATTTGAGGACATTTATCACTTTTTTTGATCTTGTAAAATGGTTTGCATCACTGTAAAAACTAATCGACAAAGTTTAACAGAAAAATAGTAGCTTCTAGTTTTGAAGCACCTTATTCTGTGCTTGTTAATCTCGCTGACACAGGCTGATTTACCGTTATTTCAAAGATTATTATAATACTTAAAAAAATTGCAACATAGAAGATAACAAAAAACAGGGACAATGTAACACTTTCTGTTAGCAGTCAAAGAGTGTATTTTTTTAGTTGAAAAATAATTAATTTTTCTTTACAAAAGTTCTCAGCTACTCAATAAATGCTGGAAGTTTGCGAACATTTGGAACTGTAAAGTGATAGCTTTCTTCTCAGCATTCTAGCTGAGTACAACAAACAAAAAATGCGAAAAATACAAAGTTATATTAAAATAGCAGTATATATATAGAAGAAATAAAAGAAATTCAAGCACTTCAACGTATCGGTAACTTCACCTAACTGGCGGTAGAATATAGATTTTAGATGTTCCAACAACAATCTTAACTCTTCTGAACAATTCTTTGTCAAAATATTGATAAGAAAATAATGCAGAAAAATTAGTTGAGATATGGTCGAAAATAAAAATGCAATATCAATTTGTTGATTTTTTATTTGTTTGTCTGGAACTGCTTACAACAACATAATTTACAGTTGAATAAAGTTGAACGTGTCGAACGAGGTGAAGTTACTGATAAAGATAAGGTAACCTTCCAACTAAGCATTGAAGGAACAACAGACGAAGATGCTAGCGTTGACTTAGCTGAAGATTTGTTAGAGCAAGAAAAATCATCAACCCCACGAATTCCTGTACCTGTTGCGCTTGGAATAACAGTTGGATGGATATTTGCTTGTGCTGGGCTATTTAAAATATGGGAGCCCGATTGGACTTACGCAGAAAGTTGTTATTTTATGTTTATAAGGTATTCGAAAATTAATCGTATTTCTGTTCTTTTTTATTTAACACCTAACTTTTATGCTTCTGTAACAAGGCTGCTGGTTACAGTAGTTAAGAAACAAAGCAAGTATAAAGTTTATGCTTTATTGAACTGAAACAAAATCGTCGTAAAAAAAGACAAAAAGAAATTTGCATAAACTGCATTTTTAGCAGCATTTTTTTTAGTCTTTCCACGATCGGTTTAGGAGATGTGGCTGTGAAACGACGAGAGTAAGATAATTCAAATTTCAGTTTGTTTAAGTTTTAAAAAAAAGTTTTTCTTTTACTATTTAAGTATTTCATAGTTGAAAGTTTTGTAATTGGTATTACAATACTTACATCCTTTTTCTTTTTTTTTTCGTTTATCATTCAATCGTATCACGCAACAGTTACAGTGCTTTACAGTTTGATGGTTCTATGTTTTGTTTTTGTGATTATCGGTTTATCACTAGTCAGTATGTGCATTGGTGTCATACAGTCAGCTCTCGAAGATCTCTATATGAATATTCTGTTAAAAATGATTGTTGAATACCAGAATAAATTATCTCAAGGTTAGCTTCCTGTTGGCTGCATATGCGAAACAACATAAATATTTCCTTCTGTGATGTAACGCCTCGCAAACGTTCATAATTTTTTGCAATACCTTTACAAATCTACGATCTGTCTCTAAAATCTGTACATAAAAAATTTTTTTCAACGATCCGTATATAAAAGACAGCCTTTTCAGTCTTTAGTTAAATGAAAGCTGCTTTAGAATGGTATTTACCTGAAATAAAAAGCCTAAAACTTTACCATTATACCATAAACTTTACCAGTATAATTTAACTAGAAGTAATCAGTCAGATTAGTTCATCATTGTTTTAGGCGATACTCACGCAGGAGCATCAATGGGTATGATGCATATTTGGGGAGGGAATAAAACTGCCAAGTTTTTGATGCCATTGCTCAGGTGAGTTTAAATATATAAATTATCCGTTCACTTAAAACTATTTGTTTCAGTGATGCAATTTTTCTTACGGTTTGTCATTAGCAAAAAAAAAAAAGAAACACAGTTTTGAAAGAGTAAAAAAGAAAACAGTTTTTTTTTACCGATTGACCGTCATTTTCTTTTTCTCTTCTTAAACTTTTTCAAAATTACCTGTCGTTTGATGCATACATATGATTTTATTTTAGCAAAGATAAACGAAAAACAGCAATGGAGAAAGTACAAGATGTAGCAGAAGCTAAAGGTATGGAGATACCAAAAATATTTTCTGAAATTGATGAAAAAACTGGAATGCCAAATGTTTTCTCGATGAATGAAAAAGAGGAAGCATTGGAAGAAACAATTAGACACGTAGAAAGAGAAGCTGAACTGGAGGCGAAACAGTCTTGTGCAAGCATTTTATCACGAAACATTGTTATGTATGATAGTGTTGCCCAAACTGACAATCCGTACATGTAAGTTATTTTTTATGACATTTAAGTTAGTGTTACTTGACTTTCCTGTTGGTCCGGAAAAAGATCTAAAAGAAGTCTTGTGGTTGTTCTATGCGGAAAGTTTCTCTCCTCTATTTCCTTTCGCTCACTCCTTCCCTCGAATCCATCTGACGCTTAATAAGGTTGTCAGGGAAGAACGATGCGAACAGACCGAACAGATTACCACAGCAGACGCAAATGTTGGTAACGAAAGTGACTCAAAAGAATACGAATGCACTGCCGTACAATGCGAACGGGTAAGCATACTCGAAGACAGTGCGCAAACATTTACTCCTTCTACACGAAACGATGATACGATGACAGAAACTGTGCCATGCAGTGTAAGCCATTTGATTGCCTTCAAAAAAAACTCGAACGTCTTTGACCATTAGGTATCATTGAATCAGTGGAACAGAAGAAGCAAGTTTTGAGAAACATTCGATTATCAGAGCACAAATTTTGCACGTCATACTTGTGCTATAAATCAGAATGTCACATTTATTACCAAGCCCGAAATTTAATCAATGCATCATGAATGGCATTTATTTATGACAGCAACAATTATTTGAGGTAAAGAAATTGATGAGACGTTTCTGTTACAGCAAAGTACGGTGCAAACAGAATGTGTTGCAACGCAAGATCAAGAACTACAATCACATTTAGCCGACTATGTAGAATCTGAAGCTCAAACAGATCCATATCAAGGTCCACCCAGATCGGCATGTACCTGTACCGCGGTACAAACAGTAAGTGAATATTGAACACCGAGCTACTATAACAAGCAACAGCAATTCAGATTCAGTAGGATAAAGCACAAAAAGAATAGTTTTTCTGAATAAAATAAATGAGTGCTATTAGGATTACCTCTAAAAGTAATTTCGGTTTTTAAGAAAATGAACGCTTTAAGCAATAACTGCAACAGCAACAAAAAAACACAAATTTTATACTATTAACGACCTTGTCCCAAAAATTTATACGTTATATGAATCAAGGAGAACTAAATTACAACAACTCTTCTTCAGTTACTAGCATTTTTGTTGCAAACACTATTTCCATTTTTTCAGTATGCCAATGAAAACTTCAGAATGCTTCCTGAGAGATAAATACCGTACTTTTAGGAGAAGCGGAAATATCGCGTGCGGAATTCGTCACTTACGCGGCTGGAAAGGCGTAAATCTGCGTCTGCCAGTTTTAGTGTATGGAAAGATCCGCTTGTTGAGGAGTTGGATGAGTCGAGTGACTCGGCAGAAAGTTTAGATTGGAACCCACGAGATGGTTTACATGCGGAAAAGCAGCGATCAGTTAGAGATCTGAAAAAGTTTTGGGATGTTAAGAGCACAGCATCGTCAATATCAAATCCTGAGCGAGGTGGATATTATTGATGTTGTAGGTGTCTAATTTTAACCATGGACAAAGAAAGCATAAAAGGAAAGTGTAGGGTAAAGAAAAAAAAGTGAAAAAATAAGAGGCGTAATACAAACGGCAAAAAAAAAATTGGCACCAAATAATATGAGCAATAGTATTTTAGAGATGCGTACCGGCGAACTCAAGAATGGCAAGAAGGGCTGAAAGAAGAACCAAAAATTTTGTATATAAATTTTCTTCAGTCGCTGTCACTGCAGCGTTCCAAGTCTTTCGTTTTGTTCTGTGATTTTACAGGTAAACGAAACTTGTGCCTTACAAGTTTTTCTATTGGGTGCCTAACTTTCTCCAGTGTTAGCTTATATATTGTTTATTGCTGCGAGAAGTTAGTTTATATTACGTTTATTATGGAAAAAAAAAAATTCGTTTTTCAAAACGATACTGTCAAATGGCTATATTGCCAGAACAAATGTTGTACAATAAAAGCTTAAAAATTGAATTAAAAAATTCTTGTCTACGTCGTCTGTTAGATCATTAAATGGAATGAATATTGTCAGGCATACTTTTCCGTAGTTACAACGAGTATTTCTTTACTGCAGTTCTACACCAGTGAATTATTTATATCTGTCAAAAAAGCACAGAAACCTCTGCACCTAAGTTGAAGAATAACTGAAATTTACGAATGGTAAGCACACATTAAAGCAAGCAGACCAGTGCTATTCATAAATCGAAAGCAGAATTAGAATTTGTTACGCTGTTGCTTACAGACACTTGAAGCTCAACTGGTGTGTCATAATTGCAGAAATTAGTTTGCAACCATTTCCTTTTTTTGGGGTCTTTTCTCTTAATTTTTACTTTAAATTATGTTTTAGATCGATACATGCAGTAGCATTCAAAAGATTACTTCTAAAATTAAGTGTTTTTTATGATGTTACAGAACCTATCAGTAACTGAAAATCTTCTTACCATTTGCGCTATAGAACATTTAAATTACGCTTTACAAAACAAATTCTTGTGTCAAATAGCATCTACTAAAGTCTACACTAACTAATTCTTTTTTTTAAATTTCTTGTCACAGTTTCAACTGCTTTACTGTAACGTCAATCATTTTATTTTATCAGCTCCACTTGCTTTGTCTGCTATAACAAAGTCATAAAAACTTAAAAAGAAATAGATTTTTTGCTTGACAAATCGGGCAAAAAAAAATAACTGTAATGTAAATAAATAGATTGAACCTCCTCTCAAGTTTAGCGGCTTTAACTTCTTTCTGACTCTAAACAGGGAAGCGAAGAACAAGAGATTGGTTAAAAGCCTCCTCCACTGTCGGTGAATTGGCTAAATTTGGATAACTAATTGGTGCTCCAGTGCTCACTAAGAAAAGCGATGCTGAACACGGTGGGTCGCTGGCGTAGACAAAAGTAATTCAAAATTGTATAATCCCTAATTTGAAACAATCGCAGAGAAAATTTTCAATTTGATATTGACGAGACAAGCAATTAGAATTGATATTGCTGAACAAGAAATTCTTCGATCAACTTGGACAACAGAATTTTTGATTAGACACTCTGCTCATATGCGTTTCCTGTTGGCAACCTTTACTGCCTCCGGAGAATTCTCTTCTTCAGTATATTTATTGGTTTTGTTAACTACTGACTATAGTGACTCATTTCCTCGTACATATTCACAGGACCTTTGCAAGAAGCCCTTAGCTGAAGAGCGTCTTAAACACTAAGTATTAATGGCATTCTGAAGATTTTCAAGATGGCTTATGCATAAAAACGCGAAAGTGTAGTGCTTGGAAAGTAACAATATGCCACTGAGAGCGAAAGGTAAAAAAATGCTTGTATGCAGTTTTAGAAAGGTTTCTCGACTGTTGCGATCCAGTAAGGAAATGCAGGTAGAGAAGAAAATGAATAAGGAAGTGTTTTCCTTATGCGGGGTCGTTTAACGGCTGTCTGTGAAGAACTTTCAAAAATTACATTGCACTGAATTGACAACTAGGACACTTTTGAGAAGAATAGAAGTGAAGAAGTGAAGTGGATATGGATGAAGGAATTACTTATATTTGATACAATTCAGGTACTTGAGATCATGGGCGATAGGACACATCTGTTTAAATCGTCTTTTCTGAATGCATTGTGCTGCATAGCTGTCTGAAGTGCTATAAAATTCCGAGTTGCTCTTTACGTGTGCACATTTGGGCTTGTTTCAAAAAAGGTTGACGACGCTTGTGTGGGTATCACGTTTTAACCTAAACTGAAAAAGAAGCTTAAAAGCAGAGTTTTCTTATGCTTAAAAAAATTTACTAACCAACTATCTCAAAATTATAAATAAAAAAAGAGTTTTTCAAACTGCAAAAGATTAAAAACAAAATTTTCCAAATTTTGTACGGGGATTCAGGCGGCGACGAAGTTATCTGAACTGTGTAAAAAATTAACTAACGCAATTATTCAGTACTAAAAAAAAGAACCCGGAAAGAATTTGATAAAATTATGTTATGACATTTACAAGGAAATTCATTCAGTGTTGCTGTTTATTCATTGCAACTATTGCAAGCGATAGAAGCGACAGTACCACTAAGTTAAAAAAAGAAGAAATATTTGAAATGTGAGTTTTTTAAATAAACGTTGGTAAGAAATGACGTTTTCAATGATCTATGTTTCCCAAAGAATATGAAAAACTTGGTTGCAAAATAAGACCTTAAAAGAAACTGCATCAGTCAACGACTGGAAACAGCGTAGAAAAAAATACTAGATATCAGAAAATGAGAAAAAAAAATGTAACAACATAGGTGATCGTCAATCTGACAAAATATTATGCTATCTTTGCTAACTGCATACATCTGCCTGTCTATAGTTGAAATCAACTTATCATTACACTTTAGTTTCAAAATATTTTGTAATATTTAATATCGTATATAGTAAACAACAGACTTCCTCAGCTCAATTTGTTAGCTTCAAGAAGCAAAATTTCAAACAATGATTACTTTCATGAATGTTTTATTAAAAAAATTTTTTAATTAAAAATTCTGACACTTTTTTAGTTGTATTAGTGAAGAAAACTGTTTGCCAAAAAAAAAAGACTTTTTTCTTCACAGTAAACTGATTTGTTTAGAGCAACAACACTGTGAAGCAGTTGAACGCAGGAAACATCAGTAATCAGAACGAAAAGAAAGCAAATTTATTAAGCACTTTTTGAAAGCATTTACGTTAATGTATTTCTCTTGTGAAGATTTTTGATGAGAAGTTGCAAAAAATAACAATTCAGGTGGTCATTTACTTCAATGATTATGTGACTTAGTTTATTCTTACTAACTAATAATCATCTTGAAAAAAAATACCAGTGACACTTTGCTTTATCAACTTTTTTT